CGTTTTTGTCTATCCAGGTGTTTTTAACTGTGTGACCTGCATTTACCCATGTGTCGTCCAAATAATAGATTTTTCTGCTTTGTCGCCTATATTCAATCATTTCGCGTAGGTATTTTCGACGGCAGGCGACTATTTCAGGTCTCTCTATCAATACTGACTTCCGATTACGCGTTTCGTAACGAAAATTAATTTCGTGCAGGGATTTCCTCATTACCTCGACGCTCATTTGGGATATAATTTCATTTTCCTTGATCGCTGCATGTACAGCCTTGAGGGTTGGTATCTCATTCCTAAAGAAGAATACGGTTCGCCTTAACGCCATTTTGCTATCGTCATCCAATTTAACGGCCTTTCGTCCCTTCAAATTAAACTTTGGATCAGTAGTAGCTCCAGTTTTCTTCTTTTCATGCACCACCCTGCGAATGGTCCACTCTTGAACGCCTGTCATACTTTCACAACGCGCGAGTGCATCTCCCTGCGACATAGTTCTGTTCAGATAATTGAACACGTTGAGCACGATTTCTTTCGCGTCCCTTTTCAGTGCTTTACGAAGCCGTCTACTTGTTCCCTGGCTTTCAGTACTTTCACTCGTGCCATTTGTACTCTCCATGGTTAAGTATAACCAAAACAGTAACCACAGAAACCACAACAATACCAATCACACAACAATTCTTATAAAAACACACAATATGCGATCGCTCAACGAAACACGTTCCAATGCGTTGCCGACGCCTATGAGTCTGCCGGTCGAGGCGCGACTTTGATTTCATTGGTTCTACCGGCGGAGAACAATCAGCCATTATTTCCATCTCTGTCTGTGCTGTTGACCACCGCAAAGCCACAGAAACGACATATGTCGTACGCTATACGGCTGTACTGGAAGGAAGCCGGGATCGAGCTCTGATCATGTGTTGATCACGTGTATGAGTCATTACAGTTTTAAATAGTTGTAGTATAGTTTAAAATTCCCGAAAAGGCAACTTTTTCAATGCGTGCCAATTCCATACCGATTGCCACCATCAACAGCACCGATCGCGTAGTTACGATACGACATACACCTATGGGCGCCTACCTTTAGCCCATATTCGCGTGGGAAATAAAACAAATGACGCTCAAATGCCGGCAGCTGTTTCCCCAAGCAAATGGAGAATCCGAAATAATGCACGTGTCATTATCGTTAGCTGCTACCTTTCAAATATGTTACGTCGCTGGTGGTGATCAAATGAATCATTCATTTCTCCTTTGCTGCGACACAACGTGTGCTGTTTAGCTGCAGAACTCAATTACAAGCTATACAAAAGGTAATTGAAACCCCATCCATCACATCAATTTATGTCGCATCCGCGTACAAAGCGTCCCGCTGAATGTGATCCCTTGTGTCAAAACATACCGTGCGAATCATTTACGATTGAGGTCGGCCGGGTTTCAATCTATACGGAGACAGTGTTGCCGAACCTACAGATTTGCACCAAATTGGAACTGAAAATAAAGCTGAAAATATGAATTATATGTCGTTTTACGCCCCATACCAATAATCATAACAATAATAATAATGTTTATTGGTCTAACTACAAAGTTTTCGTATAAATAATAACGGCAGTGTCCAATAAATATAATATACCCGAAAAACTGTAGACTTGAGCTTGGATTTTAACCGAGCTTGAATTATATGAATACAACAAATTTCCTAAGTACACTAGTCAAACGTAAGTATCAATTTATTATCATATAATTTATTGGTTTTTAAGTAGTAAGTTCACAAGGTCCGTACAATTAGTCCAAGACATTCTTTGCCTGACCTACCCGTAGTACCGTTCATCTGGCAACGTCGCATCGCCTCTCACTAATATATGAAAGCATGATGCGTCTCTGGCGGCAGAGCGCCCACAAAGCGCCAGTGATGCAGGACATATACGAATACCGGCACGCCGGCCGCGGCCGTTAGTCACAAACGCGCAGGCGCATGTCGAAATCATTTTTCAACAAGTGCGGGGCAATCTATCATGTGTGAAATATCAAAAAATCACCATATCCCCGGCCCCCGCAAACCCCTAAGCCTAATGTTTAACCCATGAAAATCCGAAAATGATAAGGAACTTCTGATACGTCAATAAAAGAGGTTTGAGCGATTTTTATTTTTTCATTTTTGGACTTTCTCCCCGCTGCCACTGGACAAACTGTTTCGTCCTTGGCATAGCAGTAAACTCGTGTGAAAATTTCATCAAAATCGGAGCGGTACTTTCCAAATTATAGATGATATACATACAAAGAACATAATCATTTTAGAAAATTTCCGCAATTACGCCCAGTGACATAGGAAGAGTAAAAATCGCCTGAACTGTGTGTGTCTAACATGATATGCTGATATCGTGACTGCTAAACAGTTTGCGTTTACCGTAAGCTATCACTCATGAATTATTGCCTAAGTGTAATTTAATTAAAGTCCGACAGACTTGCCGGTACGCTTGATAATAAAATTAGTAATTATCTAAATGAATAAGTCGTAAGAGTGTCTGCGATACACTTCTTCATTTAGATTCGTCATCACGTAACAGTCAAAAGAGTAGTTATTGTCTATCATATATAAGTAGTCATTAAACTCGTCTCAAATTTAGATAAGAGCTCACTATCTATAGACATAAATGTGTCTCCATTATAGCAGATACCACTTTTCAGTTTAAACCTGTCATCATATGCATATGGGGATCAAACATAATCATTTTGGAATTTCTCTTGCCACGGATGCACCAGCATCATAAAAACATTCTAGCGCAAATTAATGTTTTATATGCTCTGAAAGTGACCTTGACCTTGGACTTTCGAATGACCTTGAATACACGTGACCTTGAGTATCTAAATGGTTTTAAGGTACGGGGAATGACCTTGCAGGTATACAGTTAAACCTCTTAAGTTACGGGACAGAAGTTTGTCACAAGAGGCCACCGAAAACTGCGCGCCGGAAAATTGTACGAACATATATTTTTAAAGCTCAGAAGAGGAATCTTTTCAACAAAATGCACAAGTTGCTGTCTCACAGATGGCACCAGGATATTTTAGATCATTTCTGTCCAGTCATATATCCGAGGGGCATATAACTATGTTTGCAGATGACATTACAATAATTATATCTGAAAAAAATGTGAAAATTACTTTCACACCAAAATTCAAAGTGTATTGGACAAATTTTCATCCTGGTGCTGAAGAAATCGTCTAATTCTAAATTCAAGTAAAACTATTGTAATAATCACATCATTAATATAGAACTGTATATATCCGACCTTGATATATCTGACTCTTGTAAATTTCTCAGTACCTACATGTTTTCTTGACAGACTAAATTTTCAAGAATATATTGATCATGTTTGTAGAAATTTAAGTAAAGCAGACACCACCAGATATATTGCTATGCTACTACAAGTAAAAGATTTTCTAAACGAAAAATCACTAGTGAACACCTATTATGCACTGGCCTTCAGCCTCATATCGTACAACATTATGGTATGGTCGAAATCATGTGAAATTGAAAGAGTATTTGTAGCCCAAAAAAGAATTTTTTAGACGAAACCACTTTACACTGCTGCAGATAAGTTTTCAAGTCAAGGAAAATTCTCAATGCGTATTAAAAATACATTTTGAAATGATTAACCTGTTGTTGTAATGTTGAAAGCTAGAATAGCTTATTTCCTAATACAGGGTGTTCCTTAATGATATGAATTCCCCGTTCAATTTAAAACAAATGACCTCTCTTGAGTTGCTTTCCCGCGATGCGCCATTTTTGAGTAAGAAAATAAACACCGTTCTATTGTCTAACTTGCAAAATTATTATTAATTTAATTGGAAAAATTAAACACATTAGGGGTAATGAACAACAACTGACAACATGAACATAACATTAAAACCAACGAAATGATTACAAAAATTGTTCAAACTGACCCCCTTCACTTAGTATGCATGCTTCCGCCCTCCTTCTCATGGAATTGCGCACTCGTTGAATTATCCCTGGAGTGTTTTTTATTCTATCACAAGCTGCAACTATTCTTTCTCCTAATTAAAATAATAAAATTGATGTAGGAAAGGGTTTCGGTTACGGCATAGGGATTTTCTTCTGCCCACAAATGATAATGTGGAAATTCTGAATGGCATTTCGAGAAAAATTAGCCTCGCCCGTGAACAGAATCATTGATTCAAATTGCGGATTTTGTGTAATTTTTTGAAGATACCACTGACAATAGGTCACACGCCTTGGAAAATCAATGGGAAGTAATGCCTGTACTCTTAAAATATGGTAAGGATATAACAAAAAAAAAACACTAAAATTCTCCAAACAATTGGATGGCAAATATTTAAGTGTCTAGCGTTTCAGGATGTTCGTCGACTTCGTGCAGCACTGTTTCCTCAATTTCACGTGTTCTCACACTTGGAGGTCTAGCTTCAGATGTTCCTTTTCGGACAGAACCAGTTTCAACAAGACGACGATGAATATTACAAAAGGGTCGACTATGTGGCAAAGCACGATCGGGCTATCTCTGGTGATAAATCCGTCTGGCTTGCTCACCATTACCGTCGGCAAGGCCATATACGTAATGCATTTCCGACATTTCTGCATTTGAATAATTCACCATTATTAACAAGATTGTAAAAACTAAATAATGAAAAAGATGTCACAGCGAACCGATTTGAATAACAGACACTTGTCAGATGTTTTAATTTTTTTATGGCGCATCGAAGAAAACAATTCAATCATTAAGGAACACCCTGTATATGTTTATCACGAGTAAGACCCTAGAGAGCAAAATTTGAAAAGTCCCCATCTACCAATTGCGTCGTATTATTCAACAAATTACATGTCAAAATTCAAATAAATAGTTCATTTAAAAATGAAGTTATGAAGCTATTGTTAAAAAAGCAGTAGTATACAATGTAACTGAGTACTTGGATTATGCGATTTTGCACTTGAGTACATAAACATGGTATCAACAGTTGTTAATTTATTCATATGTATTGTTACATTTTATTGTTTTGTATTAATTTTACCGCATATATCAAGTGTATATGAATAAAGAATAAAGTATATGATTTGCTGTCGTCAAGTAAAATATCTTAATAGATGCAGTTTCCTTCCATACTTACTACTTAGTCTGTGGAATGCCTGACTTACCTGGAAGAAAGAAAAATCAATTATTTACTGTTGCCAGCCATATTAACGCTACTTTTGACAGCAAATTTGTACAAATCTCACAAAAATCTGCAATTGGAAAGGTAATCCTATATTGAACGCGAGTTGCAAAGTTCATTACCTTCTTCACCGTTTCAATCCTGCATTCATACTTAACGAGAACATAAAATCACCACTGATACTCGATGCGGAGATTTACTGCTTATGATGTGGTTGATATAATTTCAAGTTTTTTCATGGTTCAAATAATACATTTAGAAAATATGCAACCTCGTGTAATCACTTATAGCCGCGACCACCCAGAGAGGCTTTGTATATCCACATCTTTGTGGATAACAGCACTTTGCATGCAGGTATTCAGATTAACAAATCGGTTGAGCTACAGTTAAGAAGACTGCTGCAACATTCTGTCCGATTAACGATTATCACTGGACAACAAATTTTAGTTTTTTAATTGTATCTTGTGGGAGAAGTGCACTTCTTTGTTAATTTTGGGGCGCTGAATCCAAAAATGACAATGAAATAAAAAAATTAGTTGCGGTTTAGAAAAAAAACTTTTTATTTTTAAGGATATATTAAAAAAAGTAACAAGATTCATATACTTATAAGAATCACTATATGCGCTGTCCTTTTGCTGTTCTTTTATGGATCGTTTCTGGAGCATCTCTACCAAGAGTCCAACAGTAGTCTGCAAGGATGGAAGGATTCCACTTTCCCTGGTACCTTTTTTCCATTGTTGAAATATCCTGATGAAAACGTTCGCCGTGCTCATCACTTACGGCTCCGCAATTGTCAGGAAAAAAGTCCAGGTGTGAGTGTAGGAAATGTATCTTAAGAGACATATTACAGCCCATCTTTTGGTACGATGACAGCATATTTTTGACAAGGGTTTTATAGTTGTCAGCTTTTCTACTTCCCAAGAAATTAGTGACCACCAGACGGAAATCATTCCAAGCAGTTTTTTCAATACCTGTTAAAGTGTTTTCAAACTGTGTATCTTTCAAAATATTTCGAATCTGTGGCCCAACAAAAATACCTTCTTTAACCTTTGCCTCACTTAGTCTTGGAAATTTCTGACGCAGGTATTGAAAAGCTGACCTATCTCTATCTAATGCCTTGACAAAGTTTTTCATTAGGCCCAACTTGATATGCAGTGGTGGTAATAACATTTTTTTCGAATCTACTAATGGCATATGCTGTACATTTTGTTGACCTGGCTCTAGGAATTGACGAACAGGCCAGTTTTGTCTGGTGTAATGAAGTGCCTTTGCCCGACTGCCCCATTCACACAAAAAACAGCAAAACTTTGTGTAGCCTAGCTGCAGCCCAAGTAAAAGTGCAACAACTTTCAAATCGCCACAAATATGCCATTGGTGCTCATCGTATTTTATGCATGTCAATAGGTACTTCATATTGTCATATGATTCTTTCATGTGAACTGCATACCCTACAGGAAGAGATGGTAAAATATTTCCAATATGCAATAACACTGCCTTTAAACTCAATGTTGAACTGTCTATAAACAATCTCCATTCTTCTGGGTTATAGTTTATATTTAAAGCCGCCAGTAAGCCGTTAATGTTACTGCAGAAAACTAAGTTATTCTCCATATTGAAAAATGGTTTGTGGCGTTTACGAAAAACACATACCGAAACATCGTCCTCTAACAAGTTCCACTGCTGCAGTCTTGATCCAAGTAACTCTACCTTACATTTTGGAAGTTCTAAATCTCTTACAAGATCATTTAATTCTGACTGTGTTATTTTGTGCGGTTGGTGGCATGACGTGCTCGGTATAAAATCAGGATCTCTTGACGTTGATGGCATATCTTCTTCCTGACGAATCACTCGATCGCCATGATCTGATTCGTTTTCTGATTCGCAAGTGTAGGATTCTGGGGGTTTTGGAATAGGATTTTCGTCACTGTGAGGCACAGGTCTCATCGCAGATGGTATGTTTGGGTAGTTAATAATCGATTTTTTTTTTTGGACATACCTGTGGCTTGTCCAACACAAGGTACCATGCAAAAGTAACAATCATTAATATGATTTGTAGGCTCTCTCCAAACCATTGGGACAGCAAAGCGCATAGACCGTTTTTTGCCATTTAACCAGCTCCTCAGACTTGAAGCACATGTATTACAGCAGATGTGGGGTGCCCACTGTTTGTCTTGATCACCTAGTTTACAACCGAAATAAAGCTGGTACGCCTTTGTTATTAGTGGAGTAATAGACCGTCTCTGAGACGCAAAAGTCACATCACCACACACGTAACAAAACTGATCTGGATTGTTTACACACTTTCGAGACATCTTGCATGAACGCTGTCAGCCAACTGAGGAAAAAATGGCTAATATAAAACAATATAATGTACACGTATGTATAACGTAACACAATCATGCCGATTACATCATCTTTCCTTGCCGAATATAAAAATGTAGCACGTGCATTCTTGTGAATTACAGTATATTAACACTGTCACAGCAAGAGCACATATAATTACCGTATCTCTAAAACTTGAACTAATATTGAAAAAATAAGTTTCATTCCGGTTTTAGCACATTAAAAGTATAGTCATGCCGGAAGAGAATGAGTCCTATTACTTTTCGGACAAACCAAATTAGTTTCTTAGCTGCCTAAGTTGTGGATCAGTCTGCCCGAAGAGGTTTCTCCCACTTCTGGTAGCCCAAGACAGTTCAAAGTTTGGGCCAATAAGATATCCGCAAAGTCTTTGTAGCAGTAAAAGAAGTTGATAAGTAATTGTTTGGTGTAATAACTATGACTACTACAAACTTTCACCACCCGCGAAAGCTGCGTCAGGCTCGACAGTGATAGAACTCTGTAGTAGCCCGGTTATAGCGGAGAGGTATTTATGATATCGATTGTATAAAGTTCTAAAAGTTGACATCGACAAAGTTAAACGCGTTCTCCAATATACTAGAAACAAGTAATAAATTGTTTCTCCTTTGTTCTCGCTTCCAGTTTAGAAAAGGAAAACTTCTGCTTCAACCGAAAGGCGTATCCTACGTTGCCTTTGTACTAAAATATTTAACTAACAAACTTCTAGAACAAAGAAGTTGAGAAGTTCTTATCGCCGTTCTCTGGTGAAACTGTGGTGCAACATAATAGAGCGGATAACTGTTGGTTATACCTTTTGCCGTGATGTAGGGCAAAGAGTAACTCGTGCAAATTTAGCTAACCGCTGCAAGTGCGGTCTGTTAATTAAGTACAGTAAGAAGCGGAGTTTATTTCATTGTTGGGGTGGGATATTTTTGTAACAGAGAATGCTTTGCAACTGCGTGAGTTTCGTGACTGTATGCAGGGTGTCCCGAAATTGAAGGATAATCCTGCAACTGTAGATACGTCACGTCATGCTAAAATATTTTATTAAAAGTCTTATATACTAAGTGACATATAAATCCGAACACCCAGTTTAAATGGTTTTATTTTAATAAAAGTTGGTGAATGTATTTATCTTACTGTAAATAAGAAGTGAAAAAATTTTCAGCCTTATCAGTTGCACATTCCGGTTTTTATACTGCTTTTTTTAATTTACTAACGCTCCAAAAATGAATATTTCAGCCGCAGTAAAGAATCAACGGTGGCGGATTTTGGTTCTTGACATCCTTTACGATCGGTTACGATGCCTAGAGTACGGAGACCTGTACGATTTCGTCAATTTAGTGAGTTTGATAGGGGCCGTATAGTGGGACTTCGGGAAGCTGGACTTTCTTTTCGGGCAATTGCAGTTAGAGTGCAAAGAAGTGTAGACAGTGTGGTTAGATGTTCTCAGGCATGGCTTCGAGAAGGCCGTACGCAAAGAGCAAGGGGCACTGGACGCCGCCGTAGAACAACAGACCGTGAAGATCGCCGCCTAAGAGTATGGACCTGAATGGTTTGCGGAACACGGAAGACCTATTGGCATGCGAAGTGTTTACTGACGAATGAGAAGTTTTGGCTTGTATTCATACCGGCCACACTGAGTCCTCCCTTTAACTTGAGAACACCGACATAATCGCCTTGAGTGGTGCAGACAACGGTCACTCTGGGATCAGGAATGGAACAGTATTGTCTTTAGTGACGAGTCTCGATTTTGTTTAGGCATGCCCAATGGTCGTGCCAGGGTTAGAAGGCGACGTGGTGAAAGGAGGAATCCACAGTTTTTTGTTGAAAGACATGTTCATCATACTGTTGGAGTTATGGTTTGGGGTGCTATAGCTTATGGTTCCAGGTCACCTTTAATCTTCATCAGAGGTATCACGAACGCGCAGCGTTATATCCACGAAGTTCTAGAACCCCATCTTTTACCCTATCTTGACACCCTGGCAGATCCAACTTTCCAACAAGATAATGCCCGACCACATGTTGCAAGAGTCACAATAGACTTCTGTCAACATAATGATATCACATTGTTACCATGGTCACCAAGATCTCCCGACTTATCCCCAATTGAGCACGTGTGGGATATGATGGGTAGGAGATTGCTCAATTTGCAACGTCCTCCTCAGACTCTAGAAGCACTTCGAGAGGAGTTGGTGGTTGCCTGGATTGAGATACCACAGGAGGACATTGACCACCTGATCAGAAGCATGCCTAGGCGCGTTGGAGAATGCGTAGCACATCAGGGTGCATCCACACATTATTAAAGGTCAAAGGGCTTTAAAGCAGTGCAATCATTTTGAAATTTTTATCATTTACTTATTATGCTTCATAAAGTACTTATACAGAATTTTATTAAAATAAAACCATTTAAACTGGGTGTTCGGATTTATATGTCACTTAGTATAGTTTTCGAGATTTTAAAAATATCTTTTTTTGAAAAGCTGGCTTATATTCAGTTAATTCACGTTTTGCGGTCTCACCTGATTGCCACCATGATTGCTGGATCTAAATTCACTAATTTTTTTTATTAGGGTTGCCTTAGAGAATTTGTATGCCAAGCTGGCCACAGTAACAGAATTGAGTTCCAAAATTGAGGTAACC